TTCTTTTTTTTTTTTTTTAAGATTTTATTTATTTATTTGACAAAGAAGGAGAGAGAGAGCACACAAGCAGAGGCAGAGGGAGAGGGAGAAGCAGACTCCCCACCGAGCAGGGAGCCTGATGCAGGGCTCGATCCCAGGACCCTGGGATCATGACCTGAGCCGAAGGCAGACGCCTAACGACTGAGCCACCCAGGCACCCCGGATGTGGGCATTTTCTGCTGTACAAAGTCTTTGTGTCTAGTACAGGTCCCCGTGGGAAAGCCACCTACAAACCTGCAGTCTGCCCCCACTCCCCAGTGTGAGCTGCCAAAGGCTCTGCCCATCACAAAGGAAAACATGGAGTTCGGGGCCAGGGGAACAAAAAGAGAAATGAACGATGTGTTTCCATGCCACAAGAGGATATGTGTTTGCAGTGAAGACTTTCTCCATTCAACTGGGCTTAGCCAGAGAGCCTGAATGAATGAACAGACAGATGAGCAAATGATTTCTGGCCCGTGAGAGAACCTCACTGCCTGCCACAAAGTGTGAGCAGCTTTTCTCCTAAGACCTCCTAGGACTGAATTGCTGAAACAAGATCGGACTTAGAAAAGTACTTTGGAAGGTCAATATCATCTTGCAAATGGGAACAGTGCTTTTATCATAATTACAGCCCATCAACCAGCAAGTAGCTCAATTTGTTTTTAAGGACTTTATTTCTTTACAAAAACAGGCAGATGCGGCCGGAAGGCCCTAACCTGCAGGCCCCTGATCTAGGGAAATAGACACCAAAATGTAATCTCAGGGTGGTAGAGTTACGGGTGGTTTCTGTTTTCTTCTCTTCATCTATACTTGTTAAGTTTCCTGCAATGATATGTTACTCTTTTAAAGATTTTATTTGAGAGAGAGGGAGAGTGAGAGAGAGAGAGAGAGTGTGCACAAGGGGGGGATGCAGAGGGAGAGGGAGTCCAACGTGGGGTGGGGCTCGATCCCAGGACCCTGGGATCATGACCTGAGCCGAAGGCAGACGCTTCACCAACTAAGCCACCCCGGTGCCCCAATGGTGTATGATTTTCAATAAGGAAAAAAAGCTATGAACTTTGTAATAGGGATGTAACAGGGAAGCTCTGGCCATTCTGGCATCCACTGGGCAAGGCGCTCAGCATTCCCAACTGTAAGATGAGGATAGTAACATGTACCTCACTATGTCGCAAAGGTTAAAAAACACATAGAAAGTAAAAGATGGCTTCTGGCACCAGTAAACCCTATTATCATTTCAGTGCAGTGAGACCAAGGGGATCAGGGGCTGCTGATTTCCCAACCTCACCAGGAAATGCATCAGCCACTCCTCTGGCCAGGGTCTGTTCCCCATCCATCCACTCTCCCCCACTCTGTCTACAGCTTTCCCCGACTGGCTGGCTTGATCTTTTGGCTTCAGATGGTCTCAGACATGCCAATTCCAACACAAATATTAAAACTCTAGCAAAATGACCTAAAGCACAGCAGAGAAAAAGGTCAACCAGGAGAAAAACATAATTTTGTAGCCTGGAAAAACCATTCTCAGCTACCATTTTGATTTCAAAACTGGTGAGAGCGCCCCTCCTTCAGGTGGGTCACAAGCCCATCATAACTAACTAGGTGGGTGAACACACAATGCTGCTGGAGTGGCCCGGTTTCAGACCCAGTGTCCAGGCTGGTGGCTATTTTTATTTGTTTTTGACAAAGCTGGAAGCCAACCAACATTGGCTCCCCAGGGTTGACCTTTGGCCGGCATTTCTTCCAAGGCGAGCAGAGGCTAAACTAGTCCAGGGTGACTTTGGAAATGGCTTCAGATGCAATCAACTACACACCAGAGCTATCAGCCCAACACCAAACACAGTCAGCTTCTCAGGCACAAGCCCAGGCAGAAAAACCGGGAGGGAAGGGGTAAACATTCTGGAGCATCACTGTGAATCAGGCACAGGGGGGCTGGCTTCACGCTGAATCCCCACAGCCCCGTGCATGGGAGGCCGCCATTCCCTGCTCACAATGAAGAAACTGAGGGTCAGAGAGGCCCAATGACCTCAAGTCACACAGCTGACCAGTGGCAACACTGGGCTTCCAATCCGACTCTGACCCCCCCACCCCCGCGCCCTGGAGTCTAAGTTTGAGGCAGAAAGATGGTTGAGATAAATGGGATTATCTCTATTGTCTGGACTTTAAAAAACAAGCACCTACATTTGAGAGGCAATCTGTGTACTGCAGGGCTCTCAGCTGGGGCCAGTTTTTCTCCCCAGGAGACATAAGGCCCATGTTTGCAGACATTTTTTGTGTTCACAACTAAGTGGGGGGCCGTGGCGGGGGGGTGCTACTGGCATTTAGTAGGTAGAGGCCGAGGATGCTATTCAATATTCTAGGATGCTCAGGACAGCCCCCACCACAAAGAAATACAGGGCCCCAAGTGTCAACAGAAACCCCGGTAGGTTAGAGCCATCCCTCCAGGCTTTGAATGCAGAATCTACTACTCATGACCTGCGCATTCTTGGGAAAGATGCTTCAGTAGTGTCCCTCGCTTCCCGCACAGGATCACAATATTGACAACATTAAGAGCATCTGCCTCCGAGAGTGTGCATCCAGGGTTCAGCACTGGGCCTGGCGTGCGGTAAGTGCCTCTCTGCAGGGGATCCATGATTAAGAGCCCCAGGGTGGAGCCATCGGGCTGTGGCCCTGACATTAACCAGCCCTTATGTCCCTACCCTATCCTCTCACTTCTCTTTTATAAAACACGGACAGCGGCTGCTGAGACCTGATGGACGGAAAGGTCTCACTATTATCACCGAGCAAGTAAGGCAGAAAGGACGCTGCAGAGCTTAGTCAAGGCTGCTAACCTTGAACTCATCTTTGGGCTCCCAGACAAAGGGGACCCTTGGAAATTTCTCAGGCCCCCTGCCCCCTTAGCGCTTCCCGGGACGGCCACCTTGGCTAGACCAGGAGTCATTAAGCTCGGGTCCAAAACCCAAATCCAGGCTGCCGCCTGCTTTTGGACCTCCCACAAGCTAATCATGGCTTTTGTATTTTTAAATGGTTGAAAGAATCTTATTTTGTGACCCGTGAGAATTACGTGAATTTCAAACTTCCATAAATTACGTGTGATTGGAATATGGTCAGACTCATTCAATTATGTATTCTCTGTGGATGCCGGGGAAGTAAATGGCAGAGCTGAGTAGAGGTGACAGAGACCATATGGTCTCAAAGCCGGAAATATTTACTATTTGGCCCTGGACAAAAAACAGTTTGCCAACTCTGGGTTAAGCAGTGCTTTTCAGCTTGACTCTACGCTCCGGCAAGAGAGGAACTTTTAAAAATGCTGATTCCCCAGGCCCCACCTGGACCGATTAATCAGCATCCCTAGGACAGGAGGGATTGTTAGAGGCGGGAGGGACTGTTGGAGGCAGAGGGAGCACACCCAGGCATCTACATTTTTCAAAAGCCCGCCTTCCTCCCCCCTCCAGGGAATTCGAATGTGCAGTTGGGGGTGAGAACCACCCACAGATCACCAACCAACATTTCAACCTGGCAGCTGGCCTTGGTTCTGAGCAGAATTTCTAGGGCGGTGAAATCACCTGTAATGGGACAATTTCAATTCCTGCAGGCTTATTCTTTCAGGTTAAAGTGGTTTGTGAAAAGTCTTCTTTGGGACTGAACTGTACAATAAAACGTGATTCAAGATTTATATGTTAAACTTTTGTGTAAATAGCCTTACAGATTGGCTGGGGGGGGGGGGAGGATATGTCCTTTATGGACCACATGGCCTGCTTCGGGTACACTGTAGGGCTTGAGGGGTTTTGCCAAAGAGGTTAGATCAGGGCTCAGAAAGTGCAAGAAACGTAACTACCATGGTCCACCAAACAGTGCACAAGAATGACGGTAATCCAAACCCAGGACCCCTGCCCAACTGCAGGTCCTTTGTTCAGACACACCCTGAGCAATAGAAAGATTCCCCTTGAAGGCCCCGTTATTCTCCTTTGCAGAAGGACCAGGGAAGTGGAAGGTCAGTCTCCCTCCTGGAGGGCTGGCTGCTTGTCTGGGCATATCTCTTGCCCTCTCTGAACCCCCATCTTTGGACCTAAACAACCAGCCTTCTGGCTCCAAGAGACCTCACTTCCCTGACAGGCTTATGAGCTCAGTACCTATCCAGCAATTGTTAAAAGATCATGGGATGGGGGCGCCTGGGTGGCTCAGTCGGTTAAGCGACTGCCTTCAGTTCAGGTCATGATCCCAGGGTCCTGGGATCGAGCCCCGCATCGGGCTCCCTGCTCGGCGGGAAGCCTGCCTCTCCCTCTGCCCCTCACCCTGCTTGTGTTCCCTCTCTCGCTGTGTCTGTCAAATAAATAAATAAAATCTTAAAAAAAAAAAAAAAGATCATGGGATGGGCGGGGGTGGGTGCGGAGAGGAGGCTACGGGTGAATTTTGTTCCTCTTTTTTGCTTATCTAGAATTTTCTGACTTTTCAACAACAAACATAACGTTACTTCGGGTAGTTTTTTTTTAATGCAATAAAATGAAGACAAGAAATCAAGCAGGTGGGGCCAGAAAGCGCTAGGGCACAGAAATGCCTACACATTGCTCAGAAAACAACCTTAAATGCGATGCCTGCTCAGGTGGCCCTTGATTCGCCCAGGACTTCATAATCACTTCAAAAAGGCCTGCCTTCCGCAACCATCAAGGCTTTATCAAGGCTAAGGGGAGGAAGAGGAGGAAAGCGTGGCCCCGCGCCAGCCTATCCACCTGTGTGTTCCTAAGAGCCCCTCCAATCAACATCACGGCCAAATCCGGCCAATCCGGCCTCCCCTTCAACCACCAAGGCCAGTTGCAAGGCGGGCTGCATCTCCCCAGTGGCCAAACTGAAGTCTGCATTTCTTTGGTGGGGGTGGGGAAGAGGAGGTGGCGCTAAGGGGACACAGAGCTCGTCTTTACTAGCGGCGGGGGCACACGGTGCATAAGTTGGCAAAAGATAACGGTCATTAAAATTGCAGGCTTACTTACTTCACTTTGCGATCAGGGAAACAGACCTTGCACTTGGCAGGGCTCATATTGACCTGCCCGCCGGCCAATCCCAGCCGGCTCCCGCCGGGATGCAGAGCATGCACCCCTTAACCTCCTGAGTGGACCCCGGTCCCGGGGCCCAGCAGGGCAGCCAGGTGGGTCCGAGAGCGGCTCGCGCCGGGTGGTGCTGCAGCCGGCTGGTGCCCGACCAAGCTGGGCGCTTCCTCCATTCCGAAAAGAGTCCTGCGCGCAAGTGTCCCGGGCGGACGCGCCCGTCCAGGCCCCGCCCCCAAACGAACCCCACCTCCCAGAAGGGGCCCGCCCCCTGCACAAGGCCCAGCCTCCTCACCGGGCCCCGCCTCCTGTCCCCGACAGAACCAGGTCCCGCCCCCCCAGACCGGCCAATCACGAAGCCGCCGCTGACCTTGGGCGCCAGGAGACAGCGGCCAGAGACTTAAAAAAGCCCTCTTGGCTACTTTCCTCCGCAGCTCCCCTGACTGGAGTAGAAGGGTTCCAGGATGGCACACCCCGCCCTACATCCTGGCAGCTGGGAAAAACTCACAAGCATTTAATGTGCTTGAATACACACAATAGGGAAGTGGTGGAAAATAGGGTTTATTTAAAATATGAGTCAGATGTCACCAGAGTGCCTGGTAAAAGCCCCCCAAGGCAAGTCAACTTCTGGCTTCCAAGTTCCTGTTTTTGCTTATTCTTTCACCTCTATTCCCGGGGACATGTTTGCTCCAGGCCCTTCTGCCCCCAGAGTGAGATCCTAACACTTCGGATCACCTGGGTTACCCGGTAAAGGGAGCTCTTTCGAGATAGGAAAGACCCCAGCTGCCCTGTGACCCTAAATAGGTTTCTTTCTGGCTTCCAGTTATGGAATGAATAAGTCACGGGAATGAAAGGCACAGCCTAAGGAATACAGTCCTCGGTGATGTATGGTGGCAGCTAGTAATAAGCTTCTTTCTGCTAAGACTAACACACAGAGTGCTCTTTTGTGCCTTTGTCTTCTTTCATAGCGATCCTTTTGTTTTTATTTCCATAATGCTGATAAGGAAATGTGCCCCAGAGATGTATGTTTCCCAGGGGTGACGGAGCTGAGCTTTGAACCCAGGCAAACCGATTCCAGTTCAAATGAATGAATGCTTCTGCAAGGAGTTACAATAAATAAAAAGGATTGAAAACACTGCCTAGGAAACACTGCATAATAATAAATGCAGCCTATGTTCACAGCAAACAAAACCCAAAAAATAATGTAAATGTTTGCGAATGAATCCCCATAGAAAGGCACAGCTAGGGCCACGCCTCCAGGAGGTGCGGTCCGTCCACGTGGCCACAATGTGAATTCCTCCCCTAGGAATTGTATAAGCAGCCCTGCCTGAGGGCACCAGTTAGCTGTGCTCTAACCATATAGTAACTTTCTCAGCACGAGGATTAAAAAATAAAACAGGTGAACAAAATTCTCAATTCTTCAGAATTTCTAGAAGGTTCTTTATGGCCTTGTCTTCACTCCCTCCAAAAAAAACCGACCCACTGCAGCCTGATTTACTTTCTAAAGTTCCAAACCAAACCCCCCAAAAATTCATCCTCAAGATGACCCAAATTTAAATATAATCATCTCAAAATAGGGAAAACAATTAAAATCAGGAAATGAAAATATTTCAAAACACCCCTACCCTACCCCCAATCAGTTAGGATCAAATGCGAGACCACTTCTCCACTAATCCAGCCTTGGAGACATCCTAACACACCTCACTTTTACACGGGGGCTTCTCAAGAAAGGCATTTTACTTCGATGTCTGCGCTTTGCATGTCATCAGAGCGATTGTGACTTGGATTTTTCTCTGCCTGCGTTATAAGGTATAGAAGATGGGAAGGAAAGAATAATGTCCATGCCTACACACAACACTGCCTTTAAATAAACATCTCCTTTAAACAGCCGTCACTGTGATTTCAATGACACACTCCGAACTTGGCTGCAGATGCGGTCTCGTGCTATAAGCCCTTCTGCTCAGACTCCTCAGAGGCTAAATTTAACTTGTTGGTACTGCAGAAGGAAAACCCAGGTCAGTGGCAACACACACACAACAAGAGAGTGCACTTGCAAGTGGCTAGCCACACAGTGGAAAGGCCTAAGCAGCGAGTGGCCTCAAGCCTGTCCCTACGCTCTGGGTGACCTTGAGCAAACACCTTCTCTCCACTTCTCTGTGGCATCATCCACATATAATGTGCGTTCATTCAAAGAAAAATAAAATAATCCCTTTCGATATGTGATGGGGGCAATGTTACATTAGGCATAGAGCAGAAGTGACAGATTTTTCTAAAGCAGGATACAGATACTTGAGAGAGAGAAAGGGATGTTCAGGCACTCTATACCCTGTATGAAGAGCTAACCTCTTCCGAACCTCAATATCCAGTCCACAGATGAAACAATGCAAAAACAGGGACCCCCCCTTTCCCCGAAGCTCCCAGAAAACACCTTAGCAGCTAAAAAGTTTTGGAAATGGGGTTTCTGCCAGCCCCTTCCTAAATCAATAAAGGAATGAATAAATTGAAACATGATCAAAAGATCCATGGGATTTTGCTGAGGGACAAATAAAAGTATTTATAGGCAATTTAAAGTTTTCTGACCGGCTGGCTACTCGGAGCAGGGAAGAGGTGCAGAGGGTGATGATGAGCAGGAAGGACCTGGGGGATGCCCACTGCAAGCCGCCCCGGGATGCTACTTGGGACAGAAGGGTGCAGCGAGGTCCCAGGTGTCAGCTTGCTCACCCGCCGTTCCCTCACTGCGCCTCCCTGGGGTTCTGAGGTCTGCCTTGGGAAACCTCTCCTAAACTCAACACTCTTGGCACGGAAGCGTGCAGCAGGGGGAGGCGGCAAGGGAAAGCCCCAGGCCCTGCGTGCTGCTTTGTATTTCATCCCTTTGTCAGGGACACTTCACCTGCCTCCCTCCTCTTCCTCCTCTGAGGACACAGGTTGCTATACCTTAAAGTCGTGTGCCTGGCGGGGCTTGGGAAGATCCATGACCACAGGGGAGAACTCTGGAAGTTGCCCATTCCAGCGCTGACCCCCAAGGCAGCCCCTGGGCCGTCCACACCCGCCACTTCTTCTCAGCACGTGATCTCAGCACGCTTGTGAGGTGGACACCAGCATTATCTCGTTTCGACAGAGAAGGAAATTGCAGCCGGGAGAGGTCTGTGGGGCTGGTCTGCGATGGGAAGCCAGACTTGTCTCAACTGCGGGTCCCGTGTATGACACCGCGCTTTGCATCGAATGATGGAGATCACGCCGTGGCACGGCTTTAAGTGCCAGGCTCCCAGTCACTCAAGTAAGCCTGACACCAGCCCTGTGAGGTAGGGACCACTGTGACCTCGTCCTGGAGGATGCTGAGGCACAGAAAGGGAAGAGCTCGGCCCAGGCCACCTGACAGCCGAATGGAGGAATCAGCGTGCCAGCCCGCAGCCGGCCACTCTCTCCACCTGCGATGGGAAATGCTCCGGGCTTGTGGCCTCGTCGACCCCTCCACTCGCCCCTCCCAGGGCAGGAGGCAGATCCCACCGTCTGTGGGCCCATAGTGCTGTCTGTGGGCCCATAGTGCTGTCGCAGAGCCTGGCGCCCAGCAGGGCTGTGATAAGTGCTTCCAAGCCGATGAAGGGATGGGACAAACCTTGGCTTCTCCATGTGACCGTTTCATCTCTGACTTTGTCCTTAGGCTTACCTGGTACCCAGACCATCCACAGTAACCGGCCAAGGAGAAAATGGTTCTAAATTAACAAACTTTACCACTGGCGTCTCCCCCCACCCCAGCCCCCCTTGTACCTCTCCATACATGAAGAAACAAAAGCAAAGGACCTCAGAGCATCCCAGTCCAGCCCCCTGCCAGGGTAGGTGACATCCCCAAGGTCACACAGCTTAATGGCTGCCCTGCCTCCTGACTCTTCTCACTAATGCTAAGAACAGGTTAGGAGGAGGGTGGAGACATCTTTCCTGGAGCCCAAGTTAGGCATCAACAGTGGGAGTTTGCAGACCAGTTTCTGATCTGCACCTGTGGAGGGTTCCAATGGCTCTCAGGGCCTATGATCATCCTGCTGGGAAACCCCTGATAGACCCCTGAACCTCTCTGGGCATCAGCTTCTTATGCAGGAAGTGAGAGGACTGGTTCACTTTTTTCCCCAATACTTTTATAATGTTTTATTAGTAAACATTATTAATATTTGTTATTAACAATATTTACAGCAGAAAGTTAGAAAATGCAGAAGAAAATTTAAATGACTTATAATTGCACCATATAAAGACAATGATTGCTAACTATTTTGACACATTCCTTATAGACTTTCCAGACACACACACACACACACACACACACATTTATTAAGCACAAGCATTATCTGTGCTTACTAACTGACAGGGAACATTGTAAGCACATTACATTATCCACAATCCCTTATCTGAAATTCGAAACTCCCAGGACTTAGTATGCTTTGGAATTTGAGAACTTTTGGGGGGGGATGGTAAAGCCTTATGTTTTACATTTTCATGTTACTATTTCCGCAGCAGAAGGCATGAATATTCACACAAAACAGGATAAACAAAGACTACAGACAACTTCACATCTATTCAAGGTGGATTTTTCTTCTAAATGAGTTCATGGCCAACTTACGAGCTTCCGGGTCATAACTTTAAATTTCAGGACTGCAGTTGAGCTATCCCGAACCTGTCCCATCCCATTCAGCCCAAACATGCACCCCACAGGGTAGAACTATTAGGGTTGTTACCTAGTTAACTAGTAAGACACGGCTCTAAACCAGTACCTTAACCCAGACCCATTGTGCACCAACCACACTGACCCTTGTTGACCAAAGTGGGATGACCCCATAACCTTCATTCCACAATATGTGAACAACTATTCTGTCACATGTAATGTTCTCACCAGATTTGTTTCTAAGGGTTTGCATGGGAATTCCAAACCTTGGGGACTATTTCCCCCACGTCCAAGGAAGAGCCAATCCCAACCCCTGGCCTGAGATGAACCCAAAAGGGAAGAGACAAGAAGGCGACTTGAACAGACAGCACAAAGTCATTGGGCCCATAATCGGAGCCCGCCCTCACCAGCTGGGAAGATGGAAGGGAACAGGGAGATTGTACAACCATATAAAATGCAGAAGAAAAATGGGGTTTAACCAAAGAACTAATCTACAAAGTTACAAGATTTATGCAGAAACAGTTTTATGAAAACAAAAATGCTATTGCTACCAAAGAGCAAC